CTACCAAAATAAGCAAAATGTGATAACCTCATCTATAAAAAGATAGCGATTGTTTACACATAGGGAGAAGAAAAGAAAGAGAAATATACACTAAACGAAAAATGGAGAAGCAAATCTTTTGTCAATTCTTAGTCGTAATGGTTCTACTGTCTTCATCTCACATTCAAGGAAATCCGGGATGTAACGATTTCGGTATTGAAGTTTTGTATAAATGTTCAAATTCTATGGACAAGAAGCTTCCAGCTCCTCCGAAACCATTCGAAGATTGTTGCACTGCTGTCCGAACCATTGGAATGAAATGTGTCTGTGAAGTCATCAATAAAGAAATCGAAACGGTCATTGATATGCAAAAGTTCGTCAAAGTCGTTGATGATTGTGGTCGTCCTCTTGCTGCTGGTTCACAATGCGGAAGTAAGTATTTTTTTTTTTTTTTAATGTAATGCGGAAGTAAGTATTAAAAATAAATGTGTTTTGTTCTCATATTATTAATAGGAAATCATGGATTATATAAGTAAACATGTTAGCAATATTGACCAATGATCATCATCCGTGTGGATGTGAGATCTGGTATATTTGATTCGAGTGAAAGTTAGGGGTTAGGCTTTTCTTATTAGCACAAAAATTATAATGGTAAGCGAATGAGGAAAAGTATGTATTGTTGGTGTTTTCAATGAAAGTTGCTTAGTACTATACTATAGGTAGCAAGGGTTTTTGTATAGGAAAACGATTTTCGCGGATCAAACATCTTAACCCATCGTGGAATGGGTTGGTCCAAGTCGACCCTGGTGGATCAAACGTGTGTGCTTGATGTTTGTTAACCCAACCTTTTAGCATAAAAACCAAATATCTAAATTCCAGTCTTTGCTAAAGACACTTCCGTACCCTTTACTACCTTAATAGAGTCATCAGTTCGTCCTAATCTCTTGTTTATAATCCTTTGATATTTTGCGAATTATATATATTGACATGCAAAAGTCATGTTGAAAGAATGGAATATTAACTCATTTCTTTAATTAGTATATCTAATTGTGCTTCTTTCTTTTGCAGGTTACCGAGTTCCTGGTATCAATGCGGATATGCAATGAAAAGCTAATGTCGAAAGCATTATACTCCCTCCGTTTTTTAATATAAAATGCTTTAGAAGGTTTTTTTTGGTTTACAAGACGTTCTCATATTTCTATGTAACTTTTTCTTTTATTGGATATTGTGTGACCAACAGTATTCTGCAATCTCTTTTATAATTGGTTGAGAGCACTCCCAACGGGTGTTCCTCCTTAGATATCTTAGCAT